ATATGAAAATGGCATGTGTAAACCTCGACATGCGTCTGACCCTACGGGTTAGTCGAGGAGCCAACCAAGTTGATACTGGAGATGGTTGTTTTGACAACCACACAGATCTAGCCGCCCACTTGGTGAAGAGAATACAGTCTACCCAATTAGAGAAACGCATCAGGACATTCGAACAGCTAGTGTGTGCGGGTCGAGTGAAAAGATGTGCGATCTAAATTGGGTCCAGTCGTGTGCCTGGATCAAAAAAGGCTATGTAAGTACCGAAGCAGAAAGGAATGCACGTGTGGTAATGGAGGGCAACTTAACAATTGCAGAGGGTCGCATGTGTAGAGCATGCAAAAGCGTGCCAGAGACGATCCCGCATATTGTAAGCAGCTGCCCACATTGGGTAGCAAACCTGTATGAGTGTAGGCATAATGATGTTCTCAGAAACATACATTACGCCTTGTGCAGGAAATATGGCCTAAAACCGCCACACTTCAGGCATCAATTAGAACCAGTCCTGGAAAATGATAAGGTCAAGATACTAGTGGATGTTCCAATCCAGACTCTTACCCCTCTAGCACATAACCGGCCAGACCTCGTGATCTTTGATAAGGTAAAAAAGCAGATCACCGTTGTAGAAGTGCGAGTAAGTTGGTTTACATGCATAAAGGAACAAATAAACGCCAAGGTCTACAAATATACAATAGACTCTACCAAAAATGGCGAGCCTAGTCCGCCCAACCAGGCTCATGATTCGCCAAATGGCAGAGTGCCGCATGGGGCCCCAAACCTCATCGGCGATATGATGATGCAGTACAAGCAGCCTGTACTGTTTATACCAATTATAATTGGTGTAACCGGAGAGGTCGAAAAGACACTCCCCGGAAGACTTAAAGACCTGGAGGTTCCAAACGTAAGCGACCTACTTGAACGAATGCAACGCTCTGCAGTACTAAGTACTAGCCGAATTATCAAACGACACATGGTACTGCCGATTGCGAATGAGTAAAGGAGGAGTCCTGAAATTGACAATGGCGTAGAGTGTAACAAAGCTAGAAATTGCCATAGATCTATGTGTGGTAAGATCATGTGTAGGCAAGCCTTATTACTAGACCGGAATAGCTGACAATGATTAACCTGTAAGCCCACTATCAACTCGCTTGCGAACTGAGGGCCTTTGGTCAGAGGCGACTGTGTGTAAGAGGATAATATGAAGGGCATGACCGTTGGCGAAATGCGGTAAATGCCAGTCTCAACCCGTGAGGGCATGCGTGATAGGTTTCTACCCCATTCCGGTGGAGAACTTCCACGCTTGGAGGGATCAACCCCAATAATG